TTCAAACGAATTCGTGAAAAGATGAACAACTGGGCGATGAATGATGTCATGATTTCCAGAAACTTTCAATCGGAAAGTGGTGTGGTGTCTGGCAGCTACCAAATACACTACAGTATTTTCCTTTTATATTTTTGAGGTGGAACAATTTTGTGAAATAATAGAAATTAATTAATACATGTAATTGTTTAAGCAGTTTTTCATAAGAATATTAAAAGAACAAACGTTAAAATTTTGAAATAAACTAATGACATATGAGGTATCGCTCGGGGGCATACAGGGTTAATTTGTGGAGTTATAATTGGACGTCAAGATGAAAATATATAGGTTCTGTACATTAATTGTGTTTAAGCTGATATTAATATCGTATAAGAAATGTGAATGAAATAATCATATTCACAACGTTGGTGCCATGTCTTTAATGAATATGTAAACAAATAATTTCCGTATTCACCGCCTCGATGGATGAAGTCAAGATGAAAATATTTACTGTACATTATTGTGTTTAACCTGATATTAATATCGTATAAGAAATATGAATGAAATAATAATCATTCACAACGGTGTCATGTCTTTAATGAATATGTAAACAAATATTTTCCGTATTCACCGCCTCGATGGATGATGAAGTAAGGCGGGAAACATAAACAAAACAAATTTTGAGGTTTAGATAAACTACTGGTACAGTATATGCTTAAATAAATGGTTCTTGATGTCTTTCCCCTCATAAATATAAAAAATTATCGTTTATACTCTGATGGTGCAGTACAGTAAGTCCTCCCTTAACGTTGGGGGTTACGTTCCTAAAAATGCGGTTATTGAACATGTTCTAACCTGTCTCAGTGTGACAAGGCTTAACTCGATCGCTTCACTCAGGACAAGTGGGCGAGTGTTGAAGTATAGACATGTTCTTACGCTCGGTCGGAAAATGTCGGACTGCAAAACGAGTTAACGTCAAGTTTCTTGTTAAACTTAAGAAATCCGCGACGGAAACTTCAATTATTGACAGGTTTGCGATGAAGATTGTATTTCTCGTGCACGTGTTTTTGAATGGCACAAACGATTTTTGGAAGGCAGAGAAACTGTGAAAGATGATGACCGCTCAGGCCGTCCACGCACAGCAGTTACCGGTAACAACATTGAAAAAGTGCGAGATGTGATTAGAGAAAAACCATTGGGCAATAGCTGAGAAAGTTAATTTAGACAGGGGAAGTGTTCGACCCATTCTAATGGAAGAATTGAAAATGACGAAGGTTTGTGCAAAAATGGTTAAAAAAAATACTGTCCGATGAACAATGCACCAGCCCACAATGCTTTGTCTGTGAAGCAATTTTTAGCCAATAAAAACGTCACTGCTTCAGCACCAACCCGATTCACCAGATCTGGCTCCCTGCGACTTCTACATCTTCCTAAAGATCAAGTCCGTGCTCACAGGAACCAATTTTTTGTCGGTAGTAGAGGTAAAGCAAAAACGACGGAGCTCCTCAACAGCCTTACAGAACATGATGTGCAGAATTGCTTTGAACTGTGGCAGCATTGTATGCAGCTGTGCGTCAACTCAGAAGAGAACTACTTTGAAGGCGATCACAGTTGATGTTCGTAATTTGGTAAATAAGAGTTACAGCATCAGTCAATTCAATTTTCAATTTCAATTGTTTATTCCTTGATAGAGGAAGTGGGATCCTAGTGCTGTCACTAGGTACCCCTGTACAATGACACCAGAAGCATCTGGCAAGTGTGACAAGTATATACAGTATAAATGTTATAAAGGGGCTAAGGAAGGAAGGAAGGAAGGATATTCCTTTAACACATAATCAATGTTATTTACAAAATATCTGGCCAGTATGGGGAGGATCAGGGGGTCGTGGAGTGGTGGTCCAGCAGGCGTCACGGAAGCGTTGTGTGTGGGGACATCTTGGGAGGTAGTGGATAAGGGTGCTGCTGTCTGGTCTTCTGCATAATGCACAAGAGCGTTGCTCAGGGGATGCGGGGATACCAATCTCCCAAGCATAGTCATACCCACAGCATCAGTCTCGTTTTTTTTTTTGTTGGACCTCGTATGTATACTAAAAAAACGTGACATCACTTTCATTGGATAGTTGTACCTATATGTAATGGTGAATCCCATATAGTGTACAACACAAAAATGAATTTTGATTAACGGTGAATGTTGATTTTGTTCGATACTGTATTAACTTTCTTGAGATTAGAATTACTGTATGGGAATCGGTGACCCCGTGATATAAATATACTATCGTGGTCTTTTGCATTACCTATACGAATGTTATTCAGAGTCAGCAAAATATTATTCTGCACCTTTACAGGTTCCTACAGTATGACACGGACCAAGAATTCTGAAATCACTCACGAGTCAAAGCGGATGTTGGTAGCCCTGGCTTCCTGAATTGCCAGTTACTCTTAAGATAGTATTGATCATAAGGCATTTCATTGTGTCTGCTTGCACAATGTGTCGTCTTGGCGCTTTATCCACAAGGCTACGGTGTGCTTGGAAACACCGAGCCGCCTAGCAATCGCACCATTGCTCAGGGCCTCTCCATGAAGTGCTATGGTTGTTGCTCGTGTTCTCTCTCAGGTCTTCATAATGACTAACATAACCATGACTGGAGTATGGTCTATTACAACTCCTGCTGTTTGTTCTGATGGTCTGCCCTTTGCAGATCGAAACTGCTCCGTTTCTAACAGATTCATTACATTCTTTTAAACGATCACACTTCCTCTGGCAAAATTCTTTGCTACACTGTGTTAAATAACACTGACAATGGTTTTGCTTTGTGAATTTTACTACCATTTACCCCCGGTCAACCCCCTATTCTTTTCATATATTGTAACATTAGAGATGTAGCTGGTTTCTTTACACATCTTTCCGGTAGCTCAGTTACCTACGCGTAATATTGTACAGTGGGTATGCTATAACGAATCTAATTGTTTCTAGAACCTTGTTCGTTATAGCATTCGTTCGTTATAGGATTAATCCGTTCCAGGCCCCCAAATACAACCACTTAACACTGAAAAATATAATATAAAATTGTAAAAATTTTAAAAAAGTGCATAAATATGCATCTAAACCCCTGAAATAAAGAATATACTTAATACTTGTAATAAAAAAACAATAAATTAGTAAAAAAAAAAAAAAAAATTTAAATAATGTTCGTTGTAGGAGTTTCGTTCGTTATAGCATTCTCAATTTTATAGGTAAAACCGTTCGTTATAGGAATATTCATAGTAGGATCCATTCGTTATAGCATACTCCACTGTATAACTTTCCTACGTTACAATTGTTTCTTATTTTTTTTTCTGGTTGAGGTCTTGTATTTTTCCACTTCTCATCACTTTCAAATAATGGTTATAATCATGAGTATTTACACGATTTCATTGTTTCTCATAGTATGTGAAGTTCCTATACAGCACCTCGGTTTGTAGAGTGCCTGCCACTCCTGCCACATGTGGGTGACTAAACGTAGCACTACGATATAGTATATAATACTATGACATTATGTGGTTTAAGTGCTATGGGTTTTATATGTATTCCTGATAACTTCTCTGGTTACTACACATGGTATAAGGAATAACAGCACATTAGTTTTACAATAAATCACACACTCGGAGATACCAACCTTACCAATACATGGCGTCAGTCTCGCAGTGTTCGTTGCGAGAGCCATCGCACCCAGGGGTGCAGAATAATTTGCTGACTGTACATGATCATTTTCCAAACTTGTAATTTTTTATGCTCTTCCATAGAAGCCATCTTGGATTTTATGCATAAGGAAGTTCTGTACATGTACCTGTACTGTATTTCTAACATTAAGGTTGAGCATATTCAGATAACATGACCTGATAATGTTAATCTCCAATATCTTGACTAGATGTGTGTTATTACAACCTTATCATTTATCTGTATAAGTCATTGTTTATTTCTCTGATAATATATCATTGTTTTCCAAAAGAGGAAGCCATATCTGCTAATATTGTTCCATGTAATTTCCAGAAGTGATTTTAACGGCAGTGTATTAGATTCAATAATGCAGTCTTTGTTCACTGCCTTTTATGTCATAGGAAAATCAGTTAGACTCTTCAGGGATTTCTGTTAATACAGTACTGTACTTGGTCAGTTGCTAGGATAATATTTGCCGTCTTTTTCTTCTGGTTTCGCGTAAATTTCCAATTGGACTTATGAAGTAACACTGGTTAGCATATTTCATTTTGTTTATGTAATATTTCTTTGATTTTTATACTGATATGAAGCACAGTACAAAATTTGAGTGGAACACAGACTTTTGAACACTCAGCAGTAGAGGAACAACAGTGTATTTTACTTGGACAGAACAAAGTTTCTTCTTCCATGCCCTTTAGGCCAAGTGGATTTAAAGGTTAAATGTTAATTCTTGCCATTATCGCCTCAATGCCTGTATAAGAAGTTTGAATGAACCTCTGCTGTGTTACTTGGATAATATTGATACTGTACAGGTACTCGCATATACAGTATTAATGTTGTTCATGGCCAGTGTGTACAGTACTTTACCTCACATTGGGACCTATATTCAGTACCTATATGTGAAGACTGACTTGTGTATTCCTGTATAAGTGTTGAGTGAAGTCAGATTTGGGTAGAGAAAGTTGTGGAAGTGGCTTGTCGAAAACTATTGATTATTAAGTAAAGGCTGCCAGATACCTGTACTGTACTGTATTTGAAAGGAAAGTTAAAATAGTTTCCAAAAATTTCTGGATATATTTCTCTCCCTAATATTGTTCAACATTTGAATCTTTTATTTGGGTGGAAGTACAGTGGTCAAATTTACTGTTGTCATTTTTCATGCTCTTTTATGTGAAAAATGTCAATACCCTCTTTCATAGCTAGAGCATCTGTTAAAGGTCAACATTTTTTGTTTAATTCTGGGTAAATATAGTACAGTACGGTGTATGTGTGGCAGGTGGCACATTCCCCGATTATATTGACTTATTGTTTTTCTCTACCTTTGCAGTGCGAGGTTCTCGGCCTGGAAAGAATGTCCAGTTGACGGAAAATGAAATTCGTGGTCTCTGCTTAAAATCCAGAGAAATCTTTCTCTCACAGCCCATCCTTTTGGAATTGGAAGCGCCTCTCAAAATTTGTGGTGAGTACAGTAATGTTATAAGTTTTGTTTTCAGGACGTGTATCAGTCGGTGTTGCTCAACAGTTGTGAAATCAGACTTTCCAATGTCTTACACCAAGGCTAAGTTTCATTGTGGTGATGTGCATGTTTTTGTATGGAAACTTTATTTTCTCACACACATTACATACAGGAGATTGTTTAATTAATTTATATACCTGTCACTTTGCACTTTTTTTTATCACTTTTTTACTGTTGATGTCTTCATACCTCAAGGAATGGTTGGTTTTGTGGTGATTGCCAGTGGGAGGTAGTAGAATTACCTTGGCATCTGTCCACTTGAACTCATTGGCACGGCTCTATAAGAACTAGAACATCAGTGAGCCAGCTGAGATCTAGGTTGACCACTACAGAATTTTTCATCTTGAATAATTTGGATTCCTCCTCCCCTCCTTTTCTCCGTGGTAGAATGGATTTTAGTTTTTGGTTATTATGTAGTTATGTATTATTATGTATCTAGTACAATAGCAACACATTAAGCATGAATCAGTCATGACTGACTGGAAATTATGCTGTGCAGTATTTTGTTTTGAACAGTTGCTTTTTATCTTTTTCCTATATCCTCCTTTCATGTACACACCATAGTTAATATTATTGTTTAGGGGGGGGGCTATCCATGCATGACCAAATGGGACATGGCATTTCTGGTATTCATTTGTGCCTGGTGCTCCCTCACAACTTCCACATTTTTCCCCTTGTTTTATAAGGTACAGATATTGAACACTGTTGCTCTCACCATGTTCATTGTGTTCTTAGGATCATCTCTGCTCTAACACAGCACTGTTACACTATGGTGTTCCCGTTTAAGGTGTATAAACTCATTACCAGCATTTTTGCTTTGTATTTCATAACTTTTCTGTGTGGTGAACAAAAAATGATTTCATGAGTAAAAAAATAAAGAAATCTAAGCTGATTGCTTCATGCATTGTGGAAGTTAAAATAAAATATTCCTTTTGGAAATTATAGAATAATAACATTAATTGAAATCATGTTTTATAAAAAAAATGTCTAAATAAAAAAAAATCCCTCAAGCAACCTCTGAACTCCTGCTGTGTACAATACATAGCATTACATCACCTATAATTATATACATTGCAATAAGGGGTTGAAGGTGGAGGACCAGCATCATACAGTACTGTCTTGAGAATCGTTAGACAAAAACGGACTCCTGTACAGAAACTACACCCCTTACCTGGCACTTCCTACCCCTCTTGTGTGTGCAGGCTAACTCCTTATGGAAGCCTATTTTTATATTTTTCCTTCTGGTTACAAATTATCTTGGGTGTACACTGTACATCCTAGCATGAAGTAGCTTTATTTACTGTACAGAATAGGTTAAAGTGACATGAAACATTGCTTCGATAGTCGCATTGTTAGGTCTTATGTTAAAATAATTTGAAAAGAGAACTGCCTCAGTTAGTGGCCCCTGACACCTCTGAAAACTGGATGTGAGCCAGTGGTTTGCTCCAACACTTACGGCTATGTTGACCACAAGTCATTACTGCTATTCCTAATAAAGCTGCAAGTTCTCATCCTTGACAGTGATTGACCTCACATATTACTTAACCTGGTCATTACCCAACACCAACTTTCTACTGCCCTACACTGTCTCCCACTCAAGGTTAACTTCTAACGTTTGCTTCTAAATCTTTATACAACATGTACAGTATATTTATTTAGTGTATTGTATATGTACTGTATATACACAGTATTTGTCTTTTGTGGCCTTTAAGAGAGACTAGAAGGGATTTGTTAATATTTTGCAGTTCTGTAAATGGGATTTTGAATTTGTAGTCACAAATTCTCTCGTCAGAGTTTGAGGAACTATTAGAGCTACACAATCCCTTTTTAATTTATGTATATTATGATATATTGTAGGCAGAACACTGCTGTAGTATAGAGGTAACTACATTATGTCATGACTAGTGTGTGGTTACTGGTGCTTGTAAACCTCTTGAGGGGTTGGATATTATAACATTTCAATGTGGTGATAAGAATGTATTATGTATACTAATGGTCAACAACAATGGTGTATAACCTGTTTACACTTTGGAAGGACTACTGTGCTCTGTTTTTTTATGACTTAATAATGCAGTTGCCATTTTTACTGCCATAAAAATGTTAAACTTGAAACCCTATTTGATCATAAGGTTCACCTGTCTCTCTTAATCTTTATGAAACTTTGGATTTCCTTCTTTCCCTTCATGTTCAGTTTTCCCTCTAGATTGTGGTCTAGCAGGTGGATGGTGTCTTGAGTTTGTTGTGGGTGGTGTGCTGGAGATGGTGACTTGCCACTTGTGTTGCCTGGGGCTGAGCACTGGGTTAGCATGACTGGATGAATGTCAACAGTTGGCAACACTCACTGTGTATTTGGTCTTCTCCATTTTGTTTTTTGTTAGTAAGTTCAGGATCCTGCTGTCTTTAATATATATGAACTGTTAATTTCTTCTGCAAGAGTTTCTGGCTCTGAGGTAAGTGTTCCACAGACACTGACTGTCAAAGTATCGGGGTAATTACACCTTCCAACACTGTATACATACCTAACACTGTTTTTATTTTTCAGTTTGGGCTGTCATGCTTTAGGCCTTTGTCATCTTTTGGGAAATTTCTTTCCTGAATCTTTTTGTGGATTCAATACAGGTTTACCAAAATGTAACAGTTGAAATTTGTTCAAGATAAATTTGCATTTAACAGGAGGTGGAACCCTCTAACCTGGCATTATTTGCAACAAAGCTGGAGGCTTTACCATAATGGGGCACTCTGATACCCGTGGTATGTGTGTTTGTGATGGAAAATGAGTAAATTAAATATAATTAATTTTATTTGTTGGCTCACACTTGGGAAAATGCATTTCTAATATTGCATGTAATACAATCATTATGGTGTTGCTCTGAAGGTCCAAGTATGGACGTGTGTATGTAGTGAGGTCATGCTAGCAATTCCAAATTTGAGTTATTGGTTAAGTTTTGGTGAAATTTATTAGCAGTGTTGAATTAGGTATGTTTTCATTATATAGTTACATTATTGATCCTTGTACAGTATAACGGTGAGCAGGACCTGATCCAAGCTTATTTTGTAGCCTTTATAACAGGTTTGGGCGCCACAAGAGTTGACGCCCAAACACACACACACACACACACACACACACACTAGAACTGACAAGATTAATATCACAAACTTGTAGCCAGATCCTCTAAATGTTGGTGGTAAGTTAAGGGGTTATATGTGCACGATTCATGGTGACGATCAATACAGTATTTACCTATTCAATGCTGTACATAATTAATGGTTAAGTTAGGCCCCATTTGACAATGTCTTAAATAGTAAAGTGCCCAATTAACCATTAGGGTACGAGTCGATTAAGGTTCCAATTACCCGAAACTTTATATGAATTAAAATAGTGTAATAGGCAACAGTAACAACTAGGGATGGATCCGGTCCTTGTAAGGGGGGGGGGGGTGTTCATGGCGGGTCTCATCCCCGGAAACAGCATGCATGTGTTCAGCTACCTGTACTGTACTTCCGTGCCTAGTTCTTTCACTTCCGCCCATTGTAAATGTCCATGCCATGAAACTGGACTTAACATGCTTATAGAAAGTGAATTAGTCTTAAACTAGTTTTGCGTTTCACAAAATGAAATGAAGTACAAAATAGGACTTAACAACCTCTGGTGGAAGAGAGACGGACTGGTTTATTGCCCAGTGAGGGTTTAACATACGTGGCAGCCAGGTTGATGTGTTGTTACACACGGAAGTTTAGTACAAGACAGGCGCTGTGAAAGGAGGCTCCAGGCTGGTGGACAATTTAAAAGACAAGGGGCAGTGATTGTCGTGTGGAAGCGGCAGTTGAGTGGCTCTTAATAGGGGGTATTGGTGTCTCCCAGATGGTTAATGTGTTGTACTGTGCCTGGTGCGTGACGACCATCTCACTGGAGAAAGTATATTTTCTACACGTCCGGTCGTTTGTATTGAGAGGGGCACCACGTCACTCGTGCCTTATCACAAACACCAAACAGGAGCTTCCATTGTTATTCACGCCAACAATTTTCGGCGTGGAATAATTATTTATACAAGTGGCTATCGATATTTAGAAGAGAATTAGTTGCATTTACGATGATTTTACTCAGGTGTGTTTCGAACAGTACAGTACTGTTATACAGCAGGGGGAGAAGGATTATTTGTATTGGTTGGTTTTACTGTTTAGTATTACAGTGTTAACTCGAGCGCTTTCGTCACTTAAAGGGAAAGTCATCTACAGGAAAAACTTGCGTGTTTGTTGTTATATCAATAGTGTGTCGGTAACATGTAAAAGCTACTGAGATGAGATGTACCGAGTGTACCGTTTGTCCTTAGACACACACACACACGCACGCACGCACGCACTTTGTCGGGCGAGTTAGCAATAACCTTAGGAATTAAGTGGTTAGCCTTGGCATTATTAATGTTGGCGTTGAGCTGCTGGGGGCCAACAGGTCACTGTCTCGACGTGTGCTGCTTGTCCCCATAAAGATAAATTCACCATATATTTTTCGTCTTTGAATTTGAATAAAAAGTATGGAATTCGACTTCCCTTTAGAAATAAAATTCAAGAATCTATGTTTCTTAAAGTTTTCTCCGTAAATGGAGTGGTATTCTGTTGGTAAACCGGAAGCTGTCATTGCGTGGGGGTCAGGGGTCGTGAGTGAAGGAGCTGGATATGTTGAGAAGAGGAAGTGTGAGGTAGTGGTTGAGGGTGGGTGTTGTTTGGTGAGAAGGTCGTCGGGGAAACAGGAGTGGTGGCGGCATCGGGAGGCTGGTAGTGGCTAGTGGGTAACTTGACTGCCTCCCCCACCCACACTCCCCAGCCTCTTAACCGTGTACCCGGCTTTGTCTTGGTGCGTCTTTGGCCCGGTCAAAGACGCTGGTACATACACTTCACGCCCTTGTTAGGTTGACCCTCACTTATACTACTCGTATCAAACTTTA